ATTATATTAACTAAAGTTTGATTTCATGATTACTCCCAAATTGTGAATGAGTGTGGAAATCAAGACAATCTTACGATAATCATAAATGAGATTTATACAATTTTCGAACCACGTAACTGATGAAAATGATTTTACTGGTTTTTTATAATAACCGAATTCAAACTATATCATAAACCATGCAAAATTCTCGAGTGTTGATTGATTATTTTGGCATTTATAAGTAATGAAAATTCTTATTAATACGCTTAAACAAATGCAATAGCTCTTCCATACAATAGAACAAGCCTTGCTTGCATTTCATCACAAATACACATTTTACAAAATTCATCAGTTCGGCCAAAATAATATCTTTATCAATATAGTGATTATATATTATTTGCGCATATATTACACGATATTTGAAATATTTTAATAAACATTTAACATTTGTACATCATATTGATAGTATTACACGAAACATTGATGAAGGGCTTCAGATTTTTAAATTATGAACAACGAAAATAATATAAAAGTGCCATTAAGGGGTGAATTCTCCAGTAAAATAGACCGTTGTTATGGCAACGCTTTGTTATGCTGCTTTCTTCATATTCATTCGCAGTAAAAACTGACAAATTGCTTTGTATTTGCAGAGCGATCAGGTGTTTTAGATATAAAACCAAAACCTAAAAAACGCAAAATCAGAAGTACATCTTTCTGATGTGTCGTGATAAAACATACGTGAAGTTCGTTTTTATGTGTGAAACACCTGATCGCACAGCAAATACATAGCATTTTTTTACTGCTAATGTATATGAAGAAAGCAACGTCTGATTGACAGAAAAATTGGCCCCTAATTCGCATAAGATACAAAATACTTCATATGAAAAAGAGCTGAAGTCATAACGAATAAAATTGTTCACACTAAACTAAATTTTACATTAGAAGTAAACATAAATTAATCTAAAGTTGCACAGATAATAATATAATATACATAAATTTTTTTATGCATCTATTGTACTACAAAACAGTTTAAAGGATGTAAAATCTTTCTATTGAGTGATTTTCTTATATTTATTTAGTTACAGAAATATTTTACGATATTTAACGTGTTCTCAAAATTGAGCAATCATTCCACACCTGACAAACAAGTTGTTTTGTCGATAAATTTGGCATCAATTTTGTTTACGCGAACTTGTAGTCTTGCATCACTTTCACTGCACATTAATAAGGTAGCTGAGCTGATGGCAAACATTTTATGAACGTCGTAGAATAAAATTTACTATATTGTAGCTTACTCTAACGAGTATCTCTTACAACTTTTATGAACTGTTGTTGAACAAAAGATATTCGCATAAAAATTGTAAAGTATTTATACTTTCTAGTACCATTGCAAAGTTGTCTTAAGTTTTGCGAATAAAATATAATTATTTGTTACAAAAATAATCAAGAAACATCACATTTTTGACTAATAAGACTAACTCAATGCACTAATTTCTCAAACAAAACTTTATTGAATGTAATTAATTTTAACAAATACGTTTTAGAAAATCGCACTGAATCGAATAAACATGCCGGAATAATTCAGAATTACATAAAAATGACTCATAGTCATATTGTGTTTTGATCTCAATAATTGTAAGCATGACCTAAATATACACCTATTATGATGGAAGCAAAATGACTTATTGATTAAGGTACTTGTCTGTTTTAATCAGTAATTCACAAATTCAGTAATTCACAAGTCAAGTAATTCAACTATAAGAATCAGTATGAATAATGGTATTTTGGTGCGTACGAGGTGTGTTCAAAAATACCCGGAATTTTTGAATCGCTCGCTTGTGAATAGTCTTGTTGTCATTTTTTTATTGCGTTGGAATTCATGCTCCTAAAGTTTGATGAAATTTTCAGATATATTCACTATTTACTTTGTTTGTCATAGTCGCTAAGGTTCGAGATGCTTTTATGGCTCGGCGGTTTTTGCTAATTGGAAGAATTGAAGAGTCAAAGAATTTGTATTAAATTAATTGTAAAAATGAAAAAAGATAAAAATAAAAATGTGTAACAATGTATGTGAAATGTTACAATAAGCAAGCCCAGTTACAATAAAAACAAGTGTGTGACACCAGCATGTCAAAGCAGTTAAAAAACTGAAAAAAAAAAAAAGGATTATGAACTATCGTCGAATCACAATTAGAGAAGTTGCTGATAAAGTAAACATATTAATTGGGTCTTTTCATAACATTTTTTCAAATGTTTTGGGCATAAAATGAGTGGCATCAAAATTGTTCACGCACCTGCACACTTGTCATCGCTTGTTTCTATTTTTTGATCAAAAACAATTCCGCAGTCATGCCTCTAAATCTCCATATTTCCCAGATATGGCTTTGTGTGACTTTGTTCTGTTCCAAAAGTTAAAGAAACCCATGAAAGGTCGGCATTTTACTTCCAAAAGCACAAATCTCCCACCCATAAAAACACGTCGAAACTCAGCGACTACCATAGACTAAGTAAACAGTAGATGAATTAAATTAGATGAAATTAGATTAAATTTTATAAAACTTTAGAAGCATGTATACAAATACAACAAAAAAATTGACAATCAAACTCTCCAGACTCGAAAAATTTAAAAGTTGCGTGTACTTTGAGAACACCTCTTACGTGAATAAAAACGCATTATTTGAAATTAATGTCGCACAAATTCATTTAAACATAGGCAATATAATACGAATTCATAGAATTGAAAATTAATATAGAATTATATATTAATGTAACCATCAGCTGCTAAGCTATGAAATAGCATGTCGTCAAATATGCGTCAAAGTACAAAGTTTTACATTCACACTCTACTACGCGTCAACCCACATTGCATATTTTTATCACAGACGTATCAAAAATCTGCAACTAAAATAAATTATTGAAGAAAATCAAACAACATATCCATTAACCCTTTCCACTCGGATTTATACGCATTTCGCCGCCACTCCGGTGACGAAATACATATAAATCACGCAATTCGCGAGTGGAAAGGGTTAAAACAAACTAAATTCACATATTTGCATGAATAGATTTAGAAATAATAAATCACCCATTGCAAATATTCAAACTTATTTGTTAATGCTAAATAAAACAAATCATATTAAAATCTAAAATACTCCTAATTATACCAACTGAATAGATTACTTGTATTATGGATTCATATCTTAATATAAAGGTACATATTATATCACTGCTTATTAAATTTGCTCATCATTTATTTGTGAAATCGCATGAAAATATAGATATATCTAAGTGGACTTTTTTATATAAAGGAATATAATGAATGTATGAATCTGACAAGAGTCACCCGTAAAGTTTCACCCATACACCTAAAATAATTTGTAACTTTCCACACCAAAATAATAGCCTTATAAAAAATATTATAAAATATATCTTTGACTTATATGAAATAACAGAAAAATAATATCGGTCAAAAATATATTTCAAACGTAGGTAACTATTTGTTTCTCAAAAATTCAGTTCTTTTTAAATCTATACTAAATCCTCACTGTCATTCAAAATTTGAACTCACGACCTAGTCTCAAAGGAAGCATTTCAAAGAGATTCATATAAACTATAGTTTCATAACATTCCTATATAATAACAGGGTACATTTTAAAAACAAAATTGAAAATCTTTTATAAACAGCCCGGAACAACATTTGGGATCACATAACATTACTGGTGTTTTTGTGAAATAATAACATCTATAGTTACTAATATAATTTGTCATATATAATCATGTTTAAAATCCTAAAATTACTAAATATAACCACCAGTTTCTATAAAATGTAAAAAGTAAATTTATTGCGACTGATAACCAAATGTTAAAAATTTGTCGAGTAATTACAGATTTGTCACAAATTTCTAGCCTATTTGTATGACTGCCTATTAAATAATATCACTGCGCCACAAATAGTGTTTAACAGTACTTTAATATAAACATAACTATATCTACGACTGACAAATATGAATATAACAATTGTACATCGAAGCGAAACAATGTGTTTGTACATGACATAGGGACTATCACACAGATTCGTGTGAAAAGTTCTTTAGAACTTTCTACTAATGCATGCTATAGATTCAATATCGATCACTAAACAGTAATTCAATATGAAATGTTATAAAATTTAGTGCAAAATACTGTCAAATTATCATTTATGTTATTTTTAGAAAGTTAAAATTTAATAAGGGAAATATATTTAACGTTAAATATACAGGGTATCCCAGGATTGATCACAACTACCATGAGAATTTTTAGAAAAAAAAATCCATTAAAACTATGATCTTTTAAGTGCAACCTATAGCTTTGGTGAAACTGTGACCATTTGTTGATTATTGTGGTTAATTTTTATTAATTTTGTTTATCTAAACCTTGGATCGGTAATGGAATTTACATTGCTAGGACCATGGTAAAAAATAATAGCATAATTGCTTTAAGTTTGTAAGAATTAAGACTTTTTGTTTAACAAAATAACAAATTAACTTTTGTTCAATAAACTCAAAATTTTCTTCTTTGAGAGGCTTTCATTTGAAAAAAAAATGTATTAAAGTATGTTGGAAAATATCATCAAAATTTGATTCATTTTATCAGTATTGTAAAATGTTAAAACACTTTCATAATAAAAAAAATAAAGTAAAATAATAAAAATCTAAAAATAAGGGATATAAGATGATATAGAACTTCCCACTATACCTTAGTACATTTTTTAAAGGAAAGGCTCTTAAAGTAGACCAACTTTCAAAATATGTATTAAGTATACATAATTAACAAAAGTCTTAATTCTCAAAAACCGGTACACCCTGTATATTAAAATATAATACTACAACAGCGCCAGATTTGACAAAAAATGAAGAAGGAAACATATCGATGTCACAATTTTGACACCATTGTCAATTATATGCATAAACCAGAGCACAAATATAATGAACCAATTATCTAACTCTAAATAAACGATGAATCTTATTCATGCATCACTCATCGTTTAGAAACATGAATCTACAGCATGCTTTGGTAGTTTTCAATTAGAATTCTTATTTCAACAGACGTTGGTCAAAAACAAAGAAATGATCTCCAAACCGTTTCAGCAAGTGGCATCAACTTCCATCTGAGCTATTGCTATTGCAATCTTCGAATTCAGGCATAGACAACATTCTACGATTCTGCAAGTAATTCAGTGACTTATCACCATTCTGAAGCTGATGGTTTCCAACTGCCCTCGACCTGTAAGCCGCAGATTTCAATCCAGCAGGTGGTAAAATTTGAGGAAGTTCTAAGATGTTCGATATTGTAAAATCTGGCTGAATAGACTCGTGCTCAACAACGCAATTCTTGTCTAATGGTAGCCAGATGGTTAATCCAAGTTCTGCTTCAATACCGCCCTAAGATTTTAATTTTTGCACTTCGTTTAGATTTTTTTAATAACATTATAAATTATAAATAATGGTGAAAATTAGCATGATCGATGGATTAACTTTAGCACTGAATTCACATTTTGCGCATACATAGTGTGCTTCATAAATGTGTAGTGGCAAAATGAAAATAATTATCAGAGAAGCAAAACTTTCAACGTTTAGGCGTCCTTGCGTTAAAATAAAAATATTATAAGATAGAAAACGCCTCGTTTTCTGATCACTTCCCATACGGTTTGACCATAGTTTGCGAAATAATCAAGTTTTATTGGCCCATCCTCAAAACCATAAGCGATGTGTGAATATTAATCACGATTTATTACAATAAATCACGTACGTCGATCAAGCGTTTAAAAAAATAATAAAATTTTCATAATACCTATTAGTCTTTTCGGAGTGTTAGACCTTTTCTATAAACATATCGAAAAAGTTTTGCTTTGTCTCAGCTTCATTAAAAGTAAGAATAAAAAATGTACGAAACTTTTGCAATGAAAAGAAAAAGGGCGCAGGCCTTTTCAACTAAAATACTACAAATAAAAATAATAAATCAAAATCTAATATGATATTCAAAAATGTACAACACCTCGCAAGAGGTATTTGTTACCAGTGCGATTTCAGAATACTAGAACAATAGATTGTCCTTAATTTTTTCCTGGAACAAGATATTGCATTAACATGGTACATATTTAAATGTTAACACATTACATTTCAAGGGAAAGGAAAACAGATCAAATAAAATAATCGGTTATGTTTTATAATCAACCTGGTTTGATTATTCCATTCTTATTTGCTTTTTTAAATCACAAATATTAAAAAAAGTTATTATAAAATAGTTGCCGTTAAATTATTGGTAATAACGCAAATGTAATTTTGATAATGCCGCAAATTAAATTATTATATTAAAATTAAATCTAGCCGTTTAACTTGCCAATATTATTAGCGTTTGCCTAATTATAACTATCAAACTAGTTATTTATTTACGTATTGTATGTTTTATTTTATTAAAAAATATATTGCTTAACAGAATAACTTAAATCTTCAGATGTATAACCTGCAGTTAATTTTAAGGGGGTATTCTAGTGTAGAAATTCAAAAAAATCGTTTTTTTTATTTCATATTTTCAAAGTTTAATTATCTAAGAATATGGGTACGAGAAGGTTTTTGAAAATTTGAATTATTTTCGGAGATATAGGCATTTTACTGACTCGGTCTCCATACTGGTTTGGCTTCACGCAAAACTTTAAATGCGTTTTTCTCAGAACAGACTTTTTCAGTACTGTTGACACGATTTCTCGAGCTCTACTCGACCGATTCACTTGAAATATTCAGAGAGTCTTGTTTATAGACCTATCAATAGCCCGAACTAGGATTATCCCCAAATTCCAATTTTTACTATTTTTAAAAAATTTAAGAAACTCAAAACACAGTAAAAAAAAACACTTTTTTTTAAAACAGTCGCCAATTTGTAAAAAAAAATTCTTTTTACTCATCGCTAGTTCGGGCGATTGCGACATCATTGTAGATTAATAATCTTTTTATTTTTTGCATTTCCGATGGCTAGGAGGGCTGAAATCATGTCAAGACTGAGGTGCCAATTTTTTGAGACCACCCACTTCATCAGCTGCCAGTTTTTACAATTTTCAACTTTTCTATTTTTTAATTTTGGTTTTGTATTTTAATAATATTAATAAACAAGTGGTAAAACAATGGATAGTAAAAACATTCATTGCTTTCTTTTACACTTTAAAAATGACCTAAAATTCATCGCTCTATACTAGAATATCCCCTTAAATTAAAATTGCACACGGGCGTCCCAAATGGTTTTCGAAATATAGATTGCAAAAACAAGAATTACACAGAGACTCATTTTCTTTGGCAAAAGCTTGAAAAACCTTTTGTCAGTTTTGTCCATATACTCAAAGAGTCTGTAAAAAATCTCTTTATAGCCTCATAGGTAAGGTAAGGCAATTACATTTCTTTAATTTGTATGTAGGCAGACAAGTATTTATCAAATAAATCCAAATCATTAATATATTTTTTGTACTCTGTACAATATAATCATAGCGTTTTCTCTCCCTGAACCATAAAAATCCATTCGACAACAAATTAGTATTACCTTAGGATGCAAGAAAACTACCCAACACCTACCTGTATGTCGGTCTCCAATTTGTCGCCAATCATCACGCACCGTTTTGGCTCAACGCCAAGATATTTGCATGCTTCCAAAAATATCTTCTGATCCGGTTTCGCCCATGGTAGATCACCCGAAACTATAATGCAATCGAATAAACTTGTCAGATTCAATCTCTCCACTTTCTCCCACTGGGCGGAACTTGGGCCATTTGTGATCAGGCCCAATAAATACTGCTTGCGCAAGCTGATCAGCATCTTTCTGACGTTGTCGTCGATCGAAAGATAATAATATCTCAATTGCAACCATTTTAAATAGACTCTCTGCGTTAAATGGTTGTATTGTTCGGTGAGACTCTTAGACCAAAGATGGCAGCGCCACGTGTTTAGGTCGCATTCGAGGTTGTCGGGGCAGAGACGAAATGATTTCACATAGTTCTGGGTAATTAGGGACGCCTGCTCGCGAGATATGTTGTGCTCGTCGTGCAGTAATTCGGCGATCTGGAGAATAATAAACAAGATTATCAGGAAAATAGTCCCAGGTAGAGTAGTATATGACAAAAAATCATTCATCCATGAAAATAATACATACAGACCATTATGACTATAAATAAACTAATGGTGCGTGACATCGTGCCTTAAGGCAAATTACTGGAGCTTTTCGTACCATAATTTATTTAAAATTTTTTTAGATTTTATTTAGGAAATTTTGAAATTTTTCGAAAATTTTGATTATTTTTTCAAAGCGCTCGCGTTGCGTAACTGTTTTAGAGACGTAATAGCTAAGTCGCAGTCTCTATTGATTAAACATTATAAATCATGGCACATAATCCACGAAAATGTGAACAAAATTTGTACTTATTGAAATCTCTGTAAAAAAACGATAATTTGATGTGCATATGTCTTATAATAATTTTTGATCTCCGAAGCCGTTGGACCTGCCTATAGATAAACAAGTATAAATAGATCATACGTTTTGATTTTACCTGCCTACCTAAATAGGCCTGCCTGCCTTCCCAAAAATAAAATTAATTCTTCACTCCATCAATACAAGTAGAACGATTTTTGAATCATTAAAATCGGGCGCTCCATTTTCTCAAAAACTTAATTGCCATTTTTTGACTATTTTTAACTTCGCGTAGGGTAAGTTATAAAAATCTAAAATGAAATTTTTTATATATATTTACGTTTCAGAGGTTTCTGAACATTTTGGCATACCTTAGAAAAAATGGATGTATGTGTGTGTGTATGTGTATGTGTGTGTGTGCGGATACAAATTTTCGTCGACGATTTCGAGAACATAATTCAATCGATTTCAATTATTCAAAAAACATTCGATTACTGTTGATACGGAGACGTGCTGATTAGTTTTTGGCATAAGCAGGTCTAGCCGTTTCGAAGATGCAGGGCAAAAAGTGCCAGAAACGGTAACTCAGTTTTTAGGAGAACGGAGCGTCCGATTTGAATATATCAAAAAGCATTTTACTTGTATTGACAAGATGAAAAATTAATCAAATCTTCATGAAGGCAGGTCTAGCGAATTCGGAAATCTGGTGAAAAAAGGAAAAAAAAGATGCCATTTGGCGGTCAAAAATGATCATTAAACATATGCACATCAAATTATCAGATATTTTATAGAGATTTTAACAATAAGTATAAATTTTATTTACATTCCTATGGGTTCCGTACCAATGTTCATCCATCAGACGGCGACGCGGCGCTTACGCGCTTTGACATTTCGTTTCTATGCAGTTAAAGCAGTACGACTGCTTTAAAGAAAGTTTAGAATTTCCAAAATATATCAAAATAAAGAAATTTTTTTTTCACAAATTTATAGGTTCTCAAAAATCTAATTTTTCGAAGTAGAATTTTTTTAAAAATATTAATCTTTTAAAAAAAAAATAACAATTTTTGGTACGGAAAGCAATTTGCCTCAAGGCACGATGCCATGCGCCCCACTAGTTGCTCCGTATCTTCGAAACGGTTAGACCTGCATTTGCCAAAGACTAATCAGCACGTCATCCCGTCAATATGAAGCAGTTTCAGAGATTCGATAAAAAAGTTAAAACATTTGTCGGTTAAAAATGATAATTAGTCATATGCACATCAAATTATTTGGTATTTTATAGAGTTTTTAATAATAAGTACAAATATTTACAACAATGTTCGATAAAGATTGAGACGCTGCGCTTACCGCCTCGATATTTCGTCTCTGAAACAGCTTAAAATTTAAAAAAAATAAGAGAGCAAATTTAAAATTTTGAAAAAAATGTATGGTTTTCAAAAATTATTTTCTCAAAATTTAAAATTACGAATATTAAAATAATTAAAAATTTTAAATTGCGGTACGGGAAGTTCCACCAATTTACCTTATGGCACGATGCCATGTACCACTAGTTGTAAATAGTTTCTTTAATTTGATTATTTGATTAAGATTAATAATATTTTCTATTACTTTATAAAGAAATTGCAAACCGATCTCATTCACTACAATTATAACCTCCTGGTCTATAAACTATATAAAAATGTAGAGAATAAAGTATAATTATTAATAAAATAGGTAATATAAGTAATTCTTAAATATGAACATGTTAATAATTAAATAGTGTATAAAATGTAAAAAAATTAAATATATTATTGAGACTGATATTCGATTGAATCAGAAAATCAAATTTTTTATTAAGATTCGTGCAGAGTTTAATGACCCCCAAAAACGTTATTTTTAGTTTGCAGTTGATCTTGTAAAATTTATTACAGGATATTCTTTGAGAACTACGACATTCACAGTAAAGTGGAATAAATTCGAATATATCTGTGAATTAATGATTTTGATATAAAATTAAATTAAAAAATTTGATTAAAAATGAACGGCGAATAATTGCTTCAAATATTTTTTTATTAACAATAAATACATAATGACTAGCATACAACTTATACATACAATTATCAAATTCATATTTGCAACATTAATGTAACTAAGTGTAATATATGAATATTAATATTATTTAATATTAAACTTGATCGTTGCTTAATTTGGTATTGGATATATTGATGAATTAAACAATGATCAAGCATTTTTATAATTGAATATTGGATATCTGCCAATATTTTAAATTTCATTTTATAGCTAAACAAATCTGTTGAATCATTAAATCATGATCAAAAATAACTGCTCGTAAACACATCTTAAAAATGTAATGACCTCACTGTACAAACAAAATTCTCATTCTAGAAAATAATTGTATACATTTAATTCATAAATCGACCTATTGACAAATATAATTCAATAATTTCAACCTGTCAAATGCATATAGTAAATATTTAAACTATCAAAATAATTGATAAATTCATTAGTTGCATAGTATAGATGATCTAAACCTATATTTAGTTGGTTAGATTTACAAATTTTTTACCTCATTTAACCCGAAGAAAATTGAAGATAGGTTCGATAAAAAGTATCAAAATTTAAAATAACGTATCTGAGCAAGTATTTATGCATTTATCTCTCTTTAGTATACTAAAGGGATAAGTACAAAAAAATTAAAGAAGATAAAATATTCAAAATGTGATAAAATGCAGGATTAGGTAATTTTTATGTTTAAAAAAACAATGATAAATTTTCCATAAAATTTACAGGAGACAGCTTAATAATAAAAAAAGCAAATATATTAAAAAATTTAAAACAAAATGAATCCCATCCCATCTTACTATTATTGCACTGTGATTTCTTTCTACTAATGCTGGAGTAAACAATTTTTTTGATGAAAGAAGTTTCTAATAAAAAAAATCCTTAAATCAGTTCACTAATATATTTTTTTTTAATAAATATTTTAGTATATTTATGAATATTTATTTTACAAATATTACAAAAATATTGTCAACATTTCATATGCTTTGAACTTTTAAGCCTTAAAACAAAAACAATTAAACATTGTCAAAAAAAGTACTTATATTATAAATATATATAAAAATATTTTCATAACCTAATTAAGTTTTTATATTGTTATTTGCATTAAAAAATTTAATCTCCAAATAATTTTTTTCCCAACTCCATCAATCTGTGATTTCTACATACTTTCAAAGCATCCGCTTTCTTAAGTACATCAATAACATTTTTGTTTGCATCCACTAAATGGCATAAGAAATCTTCATATGCAGATTTGACATCAGCCTGTAACGATCCAATACGAACTTTCTTAAGTGTTGTTACAATTCCCTCTGCCCAACCACTTTCAACAGCAAAATCTGATATCCATGGGACCAAAGGTAAAACAGAAGACATTGTTTGCATTCCTAAAAACCACAATTCCATTAATTCCATCCAGTATTCTTTATAGGCTAAAGAAACAACTAAGGCAAATGGGTCGTTGCTTTCATCCAAATTGTAAGCATCCCATAAAAATCTAATAGATGATTGGATAAAACTGCATATGGAAAAATCATTTTTCTTCAATTTTTTATGTTGTGCTTTTAAAAGCAGTAATCCAAGAACAGCCAAGTGACCTTGAAGAACTAAATTTTCAGGAGTACCACGCAATTCAGGAAGACTACTGAAGATGAACTTGAGTAATGTGCCAAAGAGAGCGCTTTCTTCAACTGTTTTTGCTTCCAATACTGTTATATTCATAAAAATGTTGCACAGGCTTACCAGTGCTGCTCTCGAATCTTTCATATCAGCAAGTAATTGAGGATCCAAAGGCGCTTCAGGTTGCGATAAAGCTTTCAACCTATCAGCTTTTGGTATAGGTGGCTTTTTGTAATGCGCGATTGACCAATGATACACCATACATTCATAAAGAACTTCGTCTTGTTTATTTGCTAGCAAAATATCCCTTGCCCGATCTTCTACTGCCAGGTGACACAAAGCTGGTAATAACATTCGGAGAACATCTGCATCAGATTCAGTTTGATTTTTATCCTGACTAAGCCTGTGCGTTCTTGCAGCATAAAATGTGTCATTAGCTAATTGAAGCATATATGGTAACAAAGCGTACACAGCCGTTCTCATGGCCGAAGTTTCTGTGGCTAGCCAAACAGCTAAAACACGCACCATGGCACAAACAAAGGATTTTTCTTTTGGAGGTAACTTATCTTTGTTCTTATCATTTGATACTTTAGTTAAAACTGATATTACAGCTGAAAAGGCACCTTTTAATGCTGTGTATATTGTTTGCTTTTCCTTTTGTTCCAAATCTAAAGTATCATTGGCCATATAAGCTACAGAAAGTTCTAAGATTATAAAACATGCTGAAATTAAATCACCATTTGCCAAAGCTTGCTTTAAACTTTTATCATCCATCTGCATACGAACTTCAATTGCACTGAGTTGTAGGAGAAGCAGAAAGAATTGCTTGGGATTTTCTTCATTTCTCAATGTCCATTCCACACCTAAAACATCAATTACAGCAGATGCAAGTTTCAATGCTGGGTCTCGTTGGTTTTTACCAATGCGGCTGCCCAATATATCACTTAAACCTTTAAACAAGCTGCCAGGCCAAACTTCAGTGTCAGCCGTTCGACCAACAATGCTACGTCTACAATTAAATAATAGAGCTCCAAGTATCGAACACAAAGTAAATTTTCTCTCTGTGTGATCAGTTTCAAAATCCAAGCAAATACGATTTAATAAAGCATGAAAATTTTTAGGATCTAAATCCCAAGCTGAAGGGCCAAATTTACTGACCAATGTAACTATTAAATTCAGGGCTTCATCAGTCTGAAAACTTTGTTGAGCATATATTTGAGACATCTTACCAATAGCGCCTCCTTCAAGCAATGCTTTCTGCCCAGGTTCATATGAAGCTATGCTCTGAAGACAACTATAAGCTTCGCTAACAACAATCAGATTATCATCGTAATCATCATCATCAGCTGTTTGAACTATATCCAAGAAAACTGGAATGTTTTCCAACATTTCTTTATGTGTAGCGAGTTCTTCATCTTGACAAAAACATGTAAGTATTGATAAAGCAACACTCTTATATACAAGTGGGGGACAATCTTCGGGAACATCGGCACTTAGTAATAACTTCTTCAAAAACTTGAATCCAATGGCTTCGAAGAGAGCCTTCTTAGCAACTGTTGTACAATCTTTACCCTTCACTAACTTTGTCACCATAAATAACGCGGCAAATTTTTCCGTGTCGGTTTTTGCACTTTGTAAAATAAGGATACATTTTTTAACAGGTTCAGATATTGAATCAGCCATGGTTAATGAACACTTAAAACATTAATCCAGCCAGCGTAGCGGTATGTAACTAAATGCGTTTAAGAGATGAAAGTTAGGTTATTTATAACTTACGATAGAGAGCGATCCGGCCTATATTGGGAAATGTACGCGTCACTAAAACTTCGACTTTCCAGCATAAACTATATTACATCTGTGCACAAACACTACGAAATATCAATGTTTTCATGTTTATTTTAAAACTTGGCACCAAAATAGAACGTGTTGAAGCCATTTTAAGAGAACTGTCAAAACACCCTGCGACATCTTTGAGCAATCGCTAAACTCGAAGCGGCATCTAGCAATATTTTTGGAAACAATGAAATAATGAAGAAAAACCAAAAACGCGATTACAAAATGTAGATTGTTACTACATATATGAACAAAGTTTTCTTATTCACGTATTTTTTATGTTTTGCTAAAAGATTTTATTAAAACACATTGCCGCCATTTTGTACAACTGTCAAACGCACAGCGCCATCAAACGGTTCATTTGGAAAAACGCGGTTTCAACCAACAACGAGGCAAAAATGACATGAGCACTGCTGCGACAAACTTATAAAATAATTTACAAAAATAATCATGCAAAATTGTTATTTTTACGTACCTTCATACAAGCCAATGTATCCGCTTTTCTTGTCGGTATCAACGTGTTATCTAAGTCGAAGAACAATGCTGATATCGCATTTTGTTTCTGAGCACGCGAAGCTGCCATCTTTATGTGTCAGGGCACTATTGTCAAATGATAATGGACTCAGCCGCAATGGTTATGGAAGCTAGCAACTTTTCCGGCAACGGAATCGACCAAGATCAATACTTAATTCTAACCAAACAATAAAATTATCTAGTTTCTTGCGAGAATGCGCGAACTTTCTGCGCAAACTATTATCTGTATTTGTATTTTATTAGATTTTCTATATTTATAGAAATTGATAATTTTAAGAACTATTGAAATGCGACATCGCAGAATTATTTCACTTACAACGGTGAACAACGCATGCGACAGACCCGGGACAATTGTCTATATATAACGGTGAGGTTTGTTTTTTCTGTGCAATTTCAACCATCTAATAAATTTATTTATTGAAATTTATTATAATTTTGTCAAAAAACCATCTCTTATCGAAGGTTTGATTTCGAATTGTCTCTTAATTATTCATAAAAGCTTTAAATTACAAACAAACTAAAGATTAAGGATGGCATGCCATTTGAATAAATGTTCGCATCAAGTAAATTATTAAGGTGCGTCCACACCTAACGAACGAACACGAACGAACATAAAAAAACGTACCAGAACGAACGGCAACAGCATAGTGTGGACGCCACGACGATCACGAACGAACATAAACAAACATGGCGAGCAATGTTCCGCAACTTGTCGGTACATCAAAGGAAATTGTTCGTTCATGTTTGAACTCGTATGTGTATTGTTTTAATAATTTTAATAATTTAATAATAATTTTTTTAAATTTAATAATAATGTTATTAATTTTAATGTTTGAAAATTTTAATAATATTTACTTTTAATTATTGTGTACAGTTTGAAAATTTTGAATAAATTATGGAATGGTCAAATGACGTAATTTCATCATTCATAAATGAAATAGAAAAGTTTCCTATAATATGGGAGACTAAAGACCCTTTTTATAAAATTATTAGAAAAAAAAACGATGCTTGGGAAAGTGTAGGCAAAACGTTTGGGATGTCAGAAGCTGCAGTAAAGAAGAAATTGCAGTCATAGATAAAAGAAGAGTATGATTGCAGTCTTTACAAGTAAATATCAAACTTGTTATCATACATAGACATTCAACATATATGTTGAGGATGAGAGTATGAAAATTGAGTATAGTTAGCTCAAGCCTGGAATGTTCAGCTTGCTCCAAATATGAATGCTGAGAAAAGAAAACGACTCAAAATATAAATATTAAATACAAAAACTGAGTGAAATTAATTGAATAATTTATTTACAGTATATTTACAAAATATACACGAACAAAAATCACACAAAAACCAGTGAAAATGCCGTATGATTAAAGCTTACATCCATATCAATAATAAAACTGACGTTTCACGGAACATCTGCGAACAACGAAAATTCAAGCGCTCACTGCTTTTAAGCGCTTGTTCAAGTTCGTTTGGAATTTTTTGCGTTCGTTTGTGTTCCTGTTCGTTCTTCCTTTGTATTTTCTTGTTCGACATGTTCGTTCGTGTTCGTTCGTTAGGTGTGGACGCACCTTTACACACGTTAAAAAACTTAGCAAGTTAAATTTTTTAAAATTGATCACACACTATTATTTTCAATAAATTAAAATAATAAACTATGATTTATTTAAAAGTTATAGCGAGTAATGTTTATTCTGAGTACTCAAAATTGGTCTTACAAATTCCAATATACATAAATATATTATTGCACTAATAAGTTATAATTATTTATTTTAATATTAAAAAAATGAAAAAAAAATACGTTTACATATATATTTAAATATTTTTTAACGTGTAAGATAAATTGAAATGTATACATATGCAAATTTTATTCGATTACATTTCACTTACATAAATATAAAACGCAGAAGTTAAAACTAATTAATATTGTGACGTATTTTCTAATCAATAACAAAATATTGTCGATGCTTGATATGTAAAATAATAAATATTAGCAATCGAACTCTATAACAATAGGATAAACAAAAAATAATATTTGCGTCGTTATGGACGGTTAAAAAACTATCATAAATAATATAATTTTGTTAGTATAAATAAAGAATAATATCAATACTTATATAATATACGAAAAGTGATTACATTTTTAGGTTATGACCAACTAGGGAAAGTGAAGAATGCAGAGTGCAAGTCTATAAAAATTATATAATGTATTAGAAAAGATAGAAACATATAGAAACAATTCAAAAATTTAAATTTTACATAGCAATTAGAGTCAGTCTTGACGATGAAAAAATAATATAGTTATGATATTTATATTTTGTAAACGATCAGATTTTTTAATAAGTTTTGTTCATTTTTAAGAAATATATTATTAAATTATTATACTTCTACACTTGCATCAAATATTTGAAGTGAGAATTAAAAATAAGTTATCACCAGTTAAGACCATGGTTTCCAACCTGTGGGGACCAACCCCTCATGGGGGGTTAATTTAACAAAAATGATAAATAGATATAAGAAATGAATGAATAAATAATAATTGTTTGTGTATATTTTTACATAATATTGTGCATTTATATATAGCCTGATAAATATATTTATAAATTTATTATTATAATAATTTATAAATTATAATATCAACTGAGTATTTATAAAATCACGTTGCTAGAAAATTTAAGAGTGTCGCAACTATAGATAAATAAGTATAAATCTTTAGCATAAATAAGATCGCAACATCTTTCTTTAAATAAGGGGGAGGGGGTATGAAAAGGTTGGAAACGACTGGCTTGTGATATTGAACTTAAAGGGACTAACAACTGCTTTCAATACTTTTTATTAGTATTGATAATATTTGGTTTATTAGCACTTTTAATTAACTTTCCGTAGGGTAAGTTATAGCAATGGGCCGAAAATCGAAAATGAAAATTTTTGCATTTCTTCGCGTTTCAGAGGTTTCTTTGGCATACCTCAGAAAAAATGGATGTGTTCACGTTTTCGGGCGTACTGATCAACCGATTTGGATGATTAAAAAAACATTCGATTCTTATTGATAAGGAGATATGTTGATTAGTTTTTCGCAAAGGCAGGTTTAGCCGTTATGGAGATACGGAGCAAAAAGTGAAATCGAGTTTATGAGAGAACGGAATCATCTAAAAACATTCAATTTGTAATGATTTGGAGAAGTGGTGATTAGTTTTTGGAAAAGGCAGGTCCAGCCATTTCGAAAATACAAGAGCTAAATGTACAAAAAGTGGCAGTTTTTGAGAAAACTAAGCATCCGATTTCAACAATTCAAAAAACTTTCTGCTTGTGTTGATGAAATAATTACTTTTGAAAAAAAATCAATTTTTTTTTTGAATATTGAAATTAATTGAGATTTCAATTTTAATTCTGTTTAAAGTTCTAAAGCTCACTTATATATTTTAAGTGAACAATTTTAATTTTGTAATTTAGTTTATATTATTCTTATAAATATTAGACAACGTTAGAGTATAATCTATTCGAAAGCATTTAATATTCCTCGACCATTTTGTTACGGTACGGAAAGTTCCAGCAATTTGCCTTAAAGCACGATGCTATACACCACTAGTTATTATTTAAATAGTTCAAATAAATATCATAGAAGAAACATTGGCAACGAATATCGAAGTACTATATAAGTGGAGCAAACTTTTCCATTACTTTTATAATTTATTAACACGTAACAAATTGCGTCATATAAAATATTTACTAACGTATGCTACTTGGATATTATGATTTAGTTATCGAAAAATCGCCAATTCAAATTTGTAAAGCATACAAAAGTCAATTCAATAAGTCATATAATTTTATTAACAAATATACAATTCATAATACATGCGTTTAACAAGGTTATATAAAAACATTGGAATATATCATTTTTATAAAACAACTACAATCATGAAATGTAATAGAATCACGTATATAAAAATGTTAAAATGCATATTGTTCGAAATATTGTTCATAAAATAATAATTAAAATATTTTTCAAATATTTTGGATATGCATTATATATTATTATGTATGCAATATAGTTTTTTTTTAATAATCAGTCGTTGTGCGTACATAAACCTTACCTGAAGGCATAGAAACAGTGTCAACACCTTTGGGGAACAATTTGGCTGCTTCCTCATTCTGAACGGATGGCAGGATCATTACTTTTTCACCGGGCTGGGAATAAAAAATTGATAGATTTGATTATTAAATTCATAATACAATATATTATAGGTGTATTTAACTATATTTGAATTGATATTAATTGATAAGCTGTTGTGATGGACTTTTTTTAACTACGTGGCTTTGTTAGAAGGCAACCCAACAGTGAACCTTTCTATTCATGTATTTTATTATTGGAATTTCTGTAATAGGTAAGATTTTTAATTTGATGAATGGTGGCCAAGAAAATGACTACAGACTGCTTGGTATCAGCTTGTCCGAGGTTGGTATTGAATCCCATTTAAAAGAACAAAGCTCTAACCACTAGACACGGAGAAGCCCATTCATAAAACACTATTTATAATTTTATTAAATTAATAACTTTGCAATATATACATCTAAATATAAACCACTTGTATGACAAATAAAGAGATAGAGATATTTTATATATGATTATATGTAACAAGTGGATTTTTTTTTGAATAAACGACTAAGAAACTAAATTAGAGAAGATTTCTGCCATTACTCTATATTCTATATCTATATATATTTATGGCCACGGATATTTCCTCTTTGCTGAATTTTTAAATTCAAGTTGGAAATTCAGTTCAGAGTTGTAATTCAGATTTTTGCATAAGAAAAAATATCAAACGTTTAATTTATATTATTTTTTTCACAAATAAAATGAATAAAGGAGTTATTACATATCAATTATCATATTTGCTCTATTGCGTTTATATAAAAACCTGTTTAAGTATTAAATTTATAGATTTTTTTAACAAGATACAAATTTTACTTTTGTTGAAAATTATTTTAGATTAAATGATAAATGTTCTTATCACAACTGAAACAAGATATTCGATATTGATTATAATATCTATATATTACTATCTAGAATCAAGACGAAACAAACGATTGAAATTAAATTGAAAAAAAAAAGATAACCCTTAT